GTTTTTGTAAATATGAAAATATTTAAAATCTTATTAGAATCAGCCTCATTTTAGGCATTTCCACAAAATTACATACTAAATGAAACACACTTATTTATAAAACCGTTTTGATAATTTTCTTGCATTTTGCTATCCCAATCTGTTTGAGCATTTATTCTTTTATTCAAATACTTAATTCTTAAGTGTATTAGATATAAAAAAGTTCGATTCTTCTAGATTTAAATCAGAAATTAACTTCAATAATTTAGCTATTAAATTTTTGCAATTCGAAATTTTCTTCCATTAAATTTATTAATAATTACTTTCAGTTTTTTATGTTGACAAGGAATTTCGGTTTAGGTTTTATAAGACCACCATTTGAAATTCGGTCTATCCATGTATATGAGTGGGGGATTTTCTTCTCATATTCGGTATAATACATCCTGCACCTATGAACAAACGCATCCGCTTAGAATACTCGGGTGCAATGGGCATGGAGGATGGTTCCGTGCGCAGAAGGGAGGATGGTTCCGTGGCAGAAGTGGAAAACTTCTGACTGCCCCATTCACCTGGGAGAGGCCAAAAGCGATTCTTGTGCGTACGGTTCAAATCGCAGCTCACAACGTCCGGATATTTATATCCACGTATCCTCTGGGTAGCAACCAAACACCCGTTTGGGAGCGAGCTAAAGTGAGAAGGCGTAAAACTTCGCGTGCGCTGGGTTTGGGTGCCGCCACGTTAAAACCCCGCCCAATGAAAAAATCTAAAAAGCCTCGGATGAGACCCCCTTTTTCTGATGACGACCACGGCAAACGCATAAAGGACTATGATTTAAGGGTATGCACCTGGAATATCCGGACCCTTAATGGGGAAGGTGCCTCTGCCCGGCTGGTTGATGTCTTCGGGAAGACAAAGGCTGACATCACCGCCATCCAAGAAATGCGATGGACGGGGCAAGGAAAAATAAGCGTGAAGCCTTGCGACGTCTACTACAGTTGCCACGTAAGGGAGCGCAAATTTGGTGTTGGATTCATGGTAGGAGAGAGACTCCGTCGCCGAGTACGGGCGTTCACCCCGGTGGACGAACGTCTAGCCACAATCGGCATTAAAGCTAGATTCTTCAACATCTCGCTCATCTGCGCCCATGCCCGACGGAAGAGAAGGATGAGGCGTCCAAGGATCCCTTCTATGAGCGCTTGGAACGTACATATGAGCGCTGCCCCCGACACGATGTCAAAATCGTGCTTGGCGATTTTAATGCCAAGGTGGGCAAGGAAGGGATCTTTGGCGCCACTGTCGGAAAATTCAGCCTCCACGACGAAACGTCCGATAACGGACTGAGGCTGATCGACTTCACCGGGGCCCGAAACATGGTAATATGTAGTACTAGGTTCCAGAATAAGAACATCCAGCAAGCTACATAGCTGTCTCCAGATCGAAAAACGAGAAACCGATCATGTTGTGATAGACGGAAGGCATGCTTCAAGCGTTTTAGACGTACGTATACTCCGAGGGCCAAACATCGACTCGGACCACTATCTTGTTGTAGTCAAGATACGCACCCGCCTCTGTGCAGCAAAAAATGTGCGCCCAACAATGCAAGCAAAGCTTAACGTCGAAAAGCTGCAATCACAACAGACGGCCAATTTATTCGCCACTCGACTCACACACCTGCTCTCTGAGAGCACTCTTCAACAATCCGACATACGCGAGCAGTGGAACCACATTTCCCGATCATTAAGTACCGCCGCCGAAGAAGTTGTTGGATTTCAGCGAGCCCGAAAGAACAACTGGTACGATGAGGAATGTCAAGAAGCCGCAGAGCCATGTGGGACCGTTATAGGGAACTGAAGAAGGAAGCGAGACGTATTTGCCGCAATAAGAAGAGAGAGGCCGAAATACGTGAGTGCGAAGAGCTTGAGATGCTGGCCGACAGGAAGAACGCCCGAAAATTGTACCAGAGGGCTAGGCGACTTACGGAAGGTTTCAAGACCGGGGCGAACTCCTGTAAGAACAACAATGGCGACCTAGTGACCGATGTCCAGAATATACTTAAATTGCGGAGGGAACACATTTACAACCTACTGAATGCCAGCAGCGCTGAAAGTAGTGAAGAAGACGAACCCGAGTCCCCAGTCGATGACGATGGAGTAGCTGTCCCACCGCCTGACTATGACGAGGTACAAATAGCGATTACGCGGCTGAAAAACAACAAAGCTTCTGGATCTGACGGCCTGCCAGCCGAGCTATTCAAGTACGGCGGCGAGGAGCTGATGAGGTGCATGCATCAGCTCGTATGCAGAATATGGTCTGATGAACGCATGCCCGACGACTGGAATTTAAGTGTGCTCTGCCCAATCCACAAGAAAGGCGACCCCGCCATACGCGCCAACTACCGCGGAATCAGCCTTCTAAGCATAGGTTATAAGGTCCTATCGAGTGTATTGTGCGAAAGACTGAAGCCTACCGTCAACGAGCTGATTGGACCTTATCAGTGTGGCTTTGGGCCTGGAAAATCCACCATAGATCAGGTATTCACAATACGCCAAATCTTGGAAAAGACCCGCGAGAATAGGATCGACACACACCATCTATTTGTCGATTTCAAAGCCCCTTTCGACAGCACGAAGAGAAGTTGCCTTTATGCCGCGATGTCTGAATTTGGTATCCCCGCGAAACTAATACGGCTGTGTAAAATTACGTTGAGCAATTCCACCAGCTCCGTCAGAATAGGGAAGGACCTCTCCGAGCCGTTTGATACCAAACGAGGTTTCAGACAATCTGATGTTGGAGAAGATAATAAGAGCCGCAGAACTGAACCGCTCAGGCACAATACTTTACAAGAGCGTACAATTACTGGCGTATGCCGACGACATCGATATTATCGGCAAAAACAAGGGCTACGTCTGTTCTGCCTTCGGGGATTGGATAGAGAAGCAAAGCGAATGGGTCTGGTGGTGAACGAGGACAAAACGTAGTATCTCCTGTCATCACACAAACAGTCAGAGCATACGCATCTTGGCACCCGCGTCACTGTTGACAGTTACAAGTTTGAAAAAGTAGACGACTTCGTTTATTTGGGAACCAGCATTAACACCAATAATAATGTCAGCCTTGAAATCCAACGGAGAATCACTCTTGCCAACAAGTGCTACTTTGGGCTGAGTAGGCAATTGAGAAGTAAAGTCCTCTCTCGTTGTACAAAGATCACACTCTATAAGTCACTCATCATGCCTGTGGTGGTGTATGGCGCGGAGTCATGGACAATGAAAGCATCTGATGAGGCGGCTCTTGGAGTTTTTGAGAGAAAGATTCTGCTTTACGCGTTGGTGATGGCGAATATCGCAGACGATTTAACGTTGAGCTGTATGAGCTTTACAACGATATAGTGCAGCGAATTAAAATTCAGCGGCTCCGCTGGCTTAGTCATGTCGTTCGAATGGACAGAAACGCTCCTGCTCTGAAAATATTCAACGCGGGCCGCGATGCTGGTAACAGAGGAAGAGAAAGGCCTCCTCTGCGTTGGACAGACCAGGTGGAGAAGGACTTGGCTTCACTTGGCATTTCCAATTGGCGTCAGTTAGCACAAAAGAGAAATGACTGGCGTGCTGTTTTGGTCTCGGCTAAAATCGCTTAGGCGGTTACAGCGCTAATTAAGAAGAAGAAGAAGAATGGGCACTGGGTCACGCGCACACGTGAAGTCTCCTTATGAAACATCGCAGCAATTTGCCCCTCGTTGTCGCTTCACTTGACAATTCGGAGGTTTAAAATAACGTACAATAATTCCTTTTCACTTTATTTTGAATTAAAAATCAGTTGTTATGCCTTGGTTAGGAGTATGATGTAATGTGGAAAGAGTTTCCATCATCCCTTGTCAAATTTAGTTTGGAGACAAACCGGTTTCGGCGTTGTGCCATTTTCATTGTGGAATGTGCCGATACTTGGTACTGCGACTCACGGAATAATAGCACCGGCACACACAAAAAGTGGCGGGTGCTTTTAACCGTTCTTTTGACTAAGTAGTACAAAATTTCGAGTAAATTGCGAAAATCGTTATTTTTTTGCTATTTTTTTCATAATTTACTGTACGTCGAAATATATGTCGGTAGGTGTCGAAATACATGTCGGTAGGTGAGTCTGGTAAAAAGCACGCGACATTTTTTTTTGCCGGAATAATCAAAACGATTCATGGACCTTACCAAAATTTGGCAGATGGCCAGTAGTAAAATGTGAGAGGGTAGAATTCAAAATTTATCGCAAAAATTCGAAAGTTGTTTTAAAAGTGCAGCCCTTGGTGCTGCCACTGTAATTCAAATATTGCCAGTATTCGAAGATGAGCTGACTCTAATTTAATCGAAGTAATTTTGTAAAATTCTCAGAAGTGCTGCCACTGAAATTCGAAGGGTTTTTATAATGTTACGATTATCCTTGAACCCTCGTCCGGATTTCCCAAATCTTCCG